CCCAAATATGTGGTATAGAATGTCTCAATAAAACAACCATCCCAACTATGTGCTGCCTTCAAGAAACATTTTTAAATATAAGGCATATATATTTTAAAAATAAAAAATAAAAAAGGAAATACCATAAACACTAATCAATAAAAAAATCTGCACTGACCACATTGATATAATACAAAATAAAATATAGAACTAGGAATATTATCAGAGATTTAAAAAAATAGGATTATATAATGATTACTAAAAAAACATAATTTCAAATACTTATGTAACTAAAAATAGCTTTCAAAACATGGAGCCAATCTTATCAACTTGAACAAGAATTCAGTTCCGGATGTTACAACTCTATTCTCAGTACTCAATACATCATGTATACAAGAAAGTACTAAGGTATCAAGTATATAGAAAATTTCAACAAAACCATAACTACTTTGACCCAACTGACTTGTATGGAACATTCCATCCCACAGTAAGGAATAAGCTTTCTTTTTTCACATATACATAGTATATTCACCAAAATATACCATATTCTAGAACATAAAGTTCAAAATGTTTAAGGGATTCAAATCATTAAAAGTGTATTACTTAAACACAATGTGATGTAATTAGAAATCAATATTTAGAAAAACATTTGAAGATTTAATACCAGCCAAGCAGTCAAAAAGACTTTCAGGAGGTTAGGTCAGATGCATTTCACTGTTCTTTTTTCCTATCCCTTCTTCCTCCCCCTCAATCCCCTTCATCTGCTCCACTTATCTTTACCCTGTTTTGATGAAATTCCCTCTTCCCCAACCCCCCAATCCCACACCATTTTGGATTAGCTTCACAAATCAGAGAAAACATTTCACTGACATTTGGCTTTTTGGAACTGGCTTATCTCACTTAGCATGATAGTCTCCAATTCCATCCATTTACCAGCAAATGCCATAATCCCTACATTAAATATATCCACACGACACTAATTACAAAAAAAACTAAATAAATTGCAGAAAGATCAGTAGAGTAGAAGGAAGGAAGTAGGGAGTAGGAGGAGGAGAGAAGGAGGAAATGCAAATTATATTCCATGCTTTGGTGATTATGTCAAAATGTATTCTAATGTTATATATAATTAAAAAGAATCAATATTTTTTGAAAAAAGAATGTCAGGAGGGAAATTAGAAAAAACTTTTAATGTAATAAAATGAAAACACAACAGATCAAAATTTGTGAGAAATAAATCACAGTTTAGGAGGAAATTTATAGAATTGAGCAATAACTCCATGAAGAAGAAAGTCTCAAATTAATGAACCAAGTTTCTGAAAGAAAGTCAAAAGAGAAGAGAAAGACCCAAAGAAAGAAGAAACATATGGACATTAGGACATATCAATGAAAATAAAAATTAAAAAACAAGTTAACCCAAATTTTTATGAAAACACAACTATATTGATAGACCTCCACATGGACAAATCAATAGAGAGAAGACATAAATTTCATATATATATATATATATATATATATATATATATATATGAAAGAGGATATATAATTACTGAAGTTGGTATTTATTTGAATAATTAATAATAAATAAATTTTATTTGAAAAAGTATTGCACTGAGGTTCCCAGGGTGGTCTCACCACTATGATCCTCCTGTCTCAGCCTCCTGAGTAGCTGAGATTATAGGTACATATCATAGCACCTAGCAATAAAAAAAAAAATTGAAAGATTTTTAGACTTTGTCAATGATACATCACGGAGACTATATTCTATCTAAGTGTCCAATGTGTGATAGGAAGTGTTACCATTCTTCAAAGACAAAGTTAACTCATTGACCCATTGATGTAAATAGAACAGAAAAAATTGGGAAAATACTGTGGCTAGATCTGTACTCTGACCTGCACTGGCTCCAAATGTGCAGCTGCTGTGTTAGAATTTCACTTAGAAATGGCCTTGAAACAGTATTGAAAAAATATGCCAACCCTTTGGTGAGAACTCCACGCATCAAATACAGAATAAAACATAGATAGTGGAGAAAGCACCATTTTTTTTATTTAATTCCATTCTTTTTTTTTAAGTTACTAATAGATTTTTTTTTTACTTTGTTTATTTATATGTGGTGCTGAGGATTGAACCCGGGCCTCACACATGCCAGGCAAGCGCTCTACCACTGAGCCACAATCCCATTCCGGAAGGCACCATCTTTAAAACAGAAAAATGACCCCCCTCCAGATGGAATCTGCCCTATCTTGAACTTCCCAGTCAGCTTTATGAAGATCCAGTTTCAGACATGAGATGACTTCATTGAGATCCACTTGAATGACCAGGTGTCAGATGCAAGAGGAATGTGCCATGGCTGAGACAACTCAAATTTTCTTATTACCAGTCTCTACTTCTTTTAATTCTTCAAAAGAAACTACATTTCTGGCAGCCCCTAAAAATCAGAAGTCCAGTCGATTATAAAAAAAACAAAACATCAAACAAAAACACGCATGCTTAAAAAAAAAGCAGGAAGAAGCAGAATGGGAAATTATAAATGTGCTGTTGATGAAGCATGGCTTAAAATCTCTGTGCTTAGTCAAAAGATCAGATATAAAAGATTGCATCCTTTTTGACAAACAATCATCACAAAGGATGAGACAGAATTTGAAAAGGTTGATGGAAGAAATAGCACATCAACAGAACATGATACAGGAGCTTATAGAAAATAACCAGAAGCTTAAAAATGAACTTCAGCTAAAACAAAATTGAGCAGCCCATCAGGAAGAGCAAGCTTCCAAATGAGTTGGAACCAATGATGGAGAGTATGAAAGCCAAAATTTGTGAATTGGAAGATGTATCCCTAAACAAGGTTTGCCAGCAAGAAGCTAAAATAAAAGATCTTCAAAAGGAGCAGAAAATTTTACAGGCAAAATACCAACATTACAAGAAAAAATGAAATGAATAGAACAACAAGAGATTATTGGTTCTTTTTTTAAAATTTTTATTGTTGGTTGTTCAAAACATTACATAGTTCTTGATATATCATATTTCACACTTTGATTCAAGTGGGTTATGAACTCCCATTTTTACCCCGTATACAAATTGCAGAATCACATCAGTTACACATCCATTGATTTGCATATTGACATACTAGTGTCTGTTGTATTCTGCTGCCTTTCCTATCCTCTACTATCCCCCCTCCCCTCCCCTCCCCTCTTCTCTCTCTACCCCCTCTACTGTCATTCATTTCTCCCCCTTGTATTATTTTCCCCTTTCCCCTCACTTCCTCTTGTATGTACTTTTGTATAACCCTGAGGGTCTCCTTCCATTTCCATGCAATTTCCCTTCTCTCTCCCTTTCCCTCCCACCTCTCATCCCTGTTTAATGTTAATCTTCTTCTCATGCTCTTCGTCCCTACTCTGTTCTTAGTTACTCTCCTTATATCAAAGAAGACATTTGGCATTTGTTTTTTAGGGATTGGCTAGCTTCACTTAGCATAATCTGCTCTAATGCCATCCATTTCCCTGCAAATTCTATGATTTTGTCATTTTTTAATGCAGATTATTATTGGTTCTTTGCAAAAAAAGATATCTGTAGATTAACACAGGAGGATGAACAGCACATCATAGCTCAAAACAGAGTGTTTGCCTATCTCTGCAAAAGAGTTTCTCATACTGTCCTGGATAGACAGTTGCCTTGCCTAATTGACTACTGTGAATCCAAGGAAAAACCTAACAATGATTTGAAAATCCAGAAGAAGAAAAAGACTATTGAAATATAGGTACATCACCAAGCCTATAAATGCCTTCTAGTGTCATTACAGAATCAACTCAAGTATATAAGATCCAAGATTGATGCACTTACAAGTGAAAAGCTGAACCTCCAAAAAATTTGGAAAGCAGGCCCACACAACAGGAATTAAAACTTAAAAAATAACAAGTGAAGAAACTGAAAAAAAGCTGTAAAGGAAAGTATCAAATTACAGGAGCTTGTCAGTCACTAAAAAACACTGAGGACACAGAGAAAAGATGAACCCAGCAAAGAAAACCATCAATCGGTCCTAACTGATGGTTTTCTTTGCTGGGTAGCATCAATTTACAACCTAGGAACTCCAGTAATAATTTATAAACAGAACAAAGGAGGAACCCAAAATTTTAATAAAGATCTTATACAACTTTGTGGATTTGAGCATCTTATTCCTGTAATAGAAATGTGGGAAGATGAACTGACATCCCTAAAGGATTTGTATAAGTCCTTGAAAATACTATCTACTGAACTGGTGCCTTGGAATAATTTAAAGAAACAGGATGAAAATGAAGATATTAAAGTTGAAGATCTGTTGTCTATGGTGGATACAATGAAGGAAGAAGTTAAAAATAAGGAAAAGGATAGCAACATGTCCTTTAAACTTTGTAAGCTATTATCTCTCACTTCCAAAAATTATTTGATGTGCCTTCTTTAAATGGAGTTTATCCCTGAATGAATAAAGTTTACACTAGGCTTGGAGAAATGAACAATGCTGTGAGAAACCTCCACAGACTCTTAGAATTAGATAGTTCATCATCTTTGTATGTGCTGGTAAGCACAGTTGGAAAATAGTGTAGGCTGATTAACGAGGATGTGAACGAGCAGGTTTAGCAGGTGTTAGGACCTGAAGACTTCCAAAGGTATTTGTTTGAGAAGTATCATCCAGAATGCTTGGAGTGACAAAATTAAAGACATTCAAAAGTTCATAACTTATTTACCTTCCTATTTGGAATGGCACTTGTTAAATAACTTGACAACCTAAAATTATCCCACACCTTTAGGGATGAAGAAAATGCCAAGTATTTTCAAGATAGAAATAAATTGTTGGGCCTGTAAGTTTACACAGGGTGGGTAAGAAACTACTCAGCATAAGCCTGTTCTCAGGGAAAGTTATATGTGGAAAAATTCAAACCATCTTAGCTACTGTAGAAACTATTAAAATCAATTTTTAAAGAAAAACATAGATAGCTTTTACATATATAAAGGGACTGACATTGCAATTAAAAACATACTGGTTTGGGTGATCACTGTGGCAGCACATATACTAAATTGGAATGATACAGAGAAGATTAGCATGGCCCTGTGCAAGGATGACACACAAATTTGTGAAGCGTTCCATATTTTTTTGAAGGGGAGGTCTGCTTCCCACTGTCACTGGGCTTTAGGATGCTGACTACTTTGCTTCATTATTTGATACATTTGTTGTATTCAAAGACTTGAAATGTTGGACATCAATTAAGTTTATATTATGTTTATATTTTTGAAATATTTATTTTACTTACAATTAATTAATAAAAGCAGATTTTAAAAACCTAAAAGAAACAACAACAAAAAAAAATTACTGGTTTGGAACATAACAGACAGATTTTTACAAAAGGTACAAGTACAAACTTATTCTCTCCCTGAATATTTTTTAAAAGAGTCTGAATCAAATAATGAAACAAAGCTTTATTTGAGAGAGAAAAATACAAGTTAGTGAGGGAGAGGACAAAGTAAGATGAGAACATCGAAAATCAAAGTAACAATAATAATAGATATGGAAGGAGAAATAAGAAAATCCACAATATAATTCCAAGCATTACAACTGTAAGCAGCCTACTTTTTACTGTGCTTAATATTGGTTCCTAATGGCTTGCATGCAGAGCCTTGACAGAAAGTCAAATAGGCCTCCCAGAATAAGAAAAGCATATGAAAACATTTATTTCCTGCCCAAATTCAAGACAGAGTGAATACACTACAGAAGAAACTCTCAGTAAACAACAGCAGGCTGGGTTACATGCTTTTGAGATTATGATAAGGTGCATCCCAGTGTTGCATAAAACTAAAAAGAATTTTTTTAAAAAAAGACATTTTATACATCATAGATCTTTCCATTTAAGATCAATGAAGGAAGAATTAAATAAAAAAGCTGCTATTGAAAAGAAGAATCACAAATATCCAAAAAAAATACATGAAAAAATTTTCAACATCTCTAGCAATCTGGGAAATGAAATTTAAAAATACACTGAGATTTCATCTCCCTCTGGTCAGAACGGCAATTATCAAAAATACAAATAGTGATAAATGCTGGTGAGGATGTGGAGGAAAAGGTACACTCATGCTTTGCTGATGGGACAGCAAATTAGAAAAATCTCTTTGGAAAAGAATATGGAGATCCCTCAAAAAAAAAAAAAAAAAAAAAAACTAGGAATGGAACCACCATATGACCCAGCTATCCAACTCCTTGGCATTTATCCAAAAGAACTAAAATCAGCAATCAGCAAACTCTACAAATATAGATACACCAATGTTTACAGTAGCACTATTCACAATAGCCAAGTTATGGAACCAGCCCAGATGCCCATTAATAATTGATTAAGAAAATGTGCTGTATCTACACAGTGGAGTTTTACTCAGCCATAAAAAATGAAATTATGGCATTTGCTACTAGATGGATGGAAGTAGAGAATATCTTGTTAAGTTCAATAAGCTAGAAAATTAAGGGTCAAATAAAGCGGTGGTGGGGGATTGCTCTGATCATAAAGATAGAGGGAAGGTCAGTGGAGTAGAAGAAGGTTAATGGGGGTAGGGAGGAGGGAAGAGAAAGGGGAGGACCAGGGAACTGAAGTGGAGTAAGTTAATTTGTATACTTCCATACCTGTATCTTTATGTCAAAATGAACCCAACTGTTATGTACAACTAAAATGCACCAATAAGAGAGAAAAATTAAAGACTACTTGATGAGATCATTACCACATCAAATCTAAGAAAGAAAATGAGCCAAACTGAAGCTTCATGGGAGGATACAAGGAAGAAGAATCTCATAGAGCACATAAAAATGCATGTAGGTTTGTTGGAATAGAAATCATATTTTTCACTCTACCTGTTAAATTGCATTTAATAATTCTTAGTGGTAGCCAAACTAGAACACATCGAATAGTGCTTGCATTAAGTTTAGCATAATATAGAAAATATAGTCTGGTGTGGTATGACAAATAACTATAACTTGAAAGACATCAGTGGTCACCAGTTAACAAGCATTAAGAAATTACCCTACTTAAATTTCAAATTTAGGTAGTTTGTACCTGATGACTCAGAACCACCCTACTGACATCATTTCCCTCTAGCCTTGATCACATCTTTTTTCTTACAAAGTTCATCTTCCCATGACAGTTTATTTCCCCTATTCACATTCCTTCCTAGGTTCTCCCAGACATCCTTTGTATTCATCACTGATGATGAAGCACAGCCTTTCTCTCCATCATGTTGCCCCCCCCCATCCTCATACATACTGGCAATTAGAACTCTTTACTTCTCTACCTCCAAATAACCTCTTCCACTGTCTCAGCCAATCACTACCATGGCAGCACATTAGTCATAGTCATGAATTTTAACTGTTACCTCTCAAAAATGACTTACTGAATTCTGTATGGTGTTAACAGTTTGTTCATTATAGAACGATACAGTACAACATAGTAGAGTAAGATGTGTCTTTTTTTTTATAACCTTTAAATGGTTCATCTAAAAATGTCCTACTAAAGTCTCCCACCTTCCACAAACATCAACACTCAAATTTGTTCACATCATTTCTAAGTTGGAAAATAATATTTTCATTTCATTAGCATCTCCAGCCCTATCTGTAACTCTGCTTCTAACCTGTGGGTCTTCGTCCTTCTTTACCTTTCTCCATGTTCAGATTGGTTCCATTGTATGGTATTTCTGCCAGTGCACTAAGTTTTCCTGAACTTCTTTTACCCCACTTGTTCAGCAAAATTATAATCCTATCTGAAATTGTTTATTTCTCTGTCAATGACTGTTGAGACAAGTACTTGCAGAATAGATCTGATTTACTGTGATACAAATTCATTGTCACCAACATGAAATTATTTGACACTGATACGGTATGTCCTGTTACATTACTTTGTCACCACTCTCATATTCTATGAAAATAATTTTATTGCACATCCTCCTTTTGTATTAAATCTCTTACTCTTTCACATATAATTCCTCTTATTCTGAGATAATCCATATTGCACAGAAAGAGAAGACACTGATCAGACTGAAAATCTCTTAGCTGCCCTTCTATATATACACACACACACATGCTTCTCATCTTACTTCTGACTAGTTAGAAAGCTGAATTCTTCTTACTCATTGATAAAGTTAATTTTCTCTTTATTTGGGTCCAACCATTCCTTCCACCAAGGAGTCATACACTGTTAACTATACCTCTTTCTTTCTGAATATTCAGTTGTAATAGTGGTATCCTTCACATCAGCCTAAAACTATATGCTATTTTCAATCTCATTTGACCTCATATCCCAATATACCTGTTATCCTCACTCTCAATCTTTTTTAAATAAGCAAAAGTTCCCAGAGTTCTGTCTGCATTTGATTTTATACTCACTACTCAACCCATTAAAATCTGGTTCCATTCCCATGATTCCAAGGCTCTTGCAATCTTTTAGGTGACATTTGATCTATTTCACTCAATGGACCTCTTGTCATCAGCATTCATAACTCCTTTCTTAAGCACCTCTTTCCTGGCTCTATATTTTCTTGATATCTTTACCTGTCCTCACTATTTAAATTACCACCATAAACAGGTATTCATAATGTGCATGTGCTGAAAACATTTGTCCATTAGGTTTCATCTTATACATTTTCCTATCAATCAACATCTCCTCCTGATGTTCCAAACATTAACTGCTCAAACTCAACATTCCCAAATGAAAATTAAGTAAATAATATTTCCCTTAAAAATATGTTCCTATGTTAGAAAAGCTCACCACATTTCAACTGAATATAAAGACAGAAACTTGGAGTTGTCCTATTTATTTCCTTCTCTACACTACTGTGTCGATCACAAAGCCTGGCCTGTTTTAAACAACAGATGATTTTCAAACTTCTGCCTCTGTGAGCCAGGCTGTCTCTGCAGTCTCACAGGTATCAACATTCACCCTGTCTGGATGCTACTGCCAAGCCACCCTCCTTAGTGAAGGAAGGGCCATTCTTATTAACACTAGTGAGACTTTGAATGCCCTGACATCTTTACCTGAAACACTTTCTCCCACTTTTCTTTCCCTTTATTCATTTGTTCTTTCTCCTCCTGTGCCCCCTTTTCTTTTGTAATACTGTGGATAGAGCCCAGGGCCTCAAGCACACTAGGTAAGTGCTCACTCACTGAACTACATCCCCAGTCCGCTCCCTCTTCTAATAGAACTATAAGAATTAAATTTATTAATAGGTTATCTCAATCTGCATTCTCTCAGGAAACTCTGAGAGAACTCCTGATCTATGTCAATTAGGTCTATTATAGTTTTATAACACCATGTTTTAAATTTACCTTTCCTTTTAAGCAAAAATAAAAATTTTAATTTAAAAACAATATCTTTGGTTATTGACTAATAGTTACATTTTTTCCAAACATTGAGTTTATTTTTTCCGAAAACATAGTCAGTTGTTCCAGCAAAATTCATTGAATGTTTCATAAGGTATTTTCCAATTCATTTACAAAGTAACATTTTTTTGTTTTGTTTTCTTTTTTTTTTTTTTTTTTTTTTGGTCTCTAGTGCATGATAAATCCTACAATGGCAAGACAGTGAACTTGGAATCTTCCTGTTTGGAACTTAGAATATTTGGTGATTTATTGGTGATGAAATACTAACACAATAGCCACAAAAGCAGAACAAAAAATTGTATTATTAATTTTTGTTTGAAAAACACAAAAAGAAAAAAAATACAAAATGAAGTGATTCTTGGGCTGGGATTGTGGCTCAGTGGTAGAGCACTCACCTCGCACTGCAGGACCCGGGTTCGATCCTCAGCACCACATAAAAATAAAGGCATTGTGTTGTGTCCATCCATACCTAAAAAATAATTTTTTTAAAATGAAGTGATTCTTTAAAAATGATAAATTTGGTCAAACAAAAAATATATAGTTAATGTGATATATAGTCACATATTGAAAGCTCATATAGATTAATAAAAAAAAATAACAACCTTCACAAATGGGTAAAAAGTGTTAACAGACATGTAATAAACTTGAGTGGGAAATAAGGAAAGGAGAAGGGATTTGGCTAACCACAAAGAAATAGTAATATTTAAAAACCCATATGAATTTAATGTGTCTCTTTATTTCAATGA